AGACTGCTCCATTTCAGGGGGATATGAGATACTTGCACTAGTTTATAGCTCATAAATGAAAGCTTCAGCAGATGGCAAGATCATCACCAAGATGCTGTGCACTTGTAGGACACATGGCATTCTTTGTTTGCTATTCTGTAAGTAATCCAGAACTGTGGAAAGATATCTGCTTTTTCCTTCAACTATCCTCTGAACCTCTCTTATAAAGAAGACAGAGCACATGAAGCAGTGATACTCTCACAGGCTGCAGACCTCTTGGTTCAAATGTTCCCTCTACCACCAGTCACACACTGCACTTCACTACCAGTGCCTTATTTCAGTTCACCTTACTGCCTAAAGAATTTCTCATATTTTCTGGTTTTGACTACTTGTATTCACTAACAGTAGTTTCAGAGAGAAATACTGCATCAGTTTAAGCAAATAATTATAATAGGCCACACTCCAGTACTGTTATTAATTGAATTTGCCCATTGAGGGTTAACAGGTAAACCATTTCTATGTTATATCTGAAAGAGATGATGATAGCCTTTGAAAAGCAAATTAACAAAACTGACAAAGTCGGCATATTCACTTATTTTGAATGTCATTCTAGTCTGTGGAGTTTTCTAGTCACAGTCTAGAACATGGGTTTGTACTACTAAAAGAAAAGTTAGAGACAAGAACGTTTTTCAGTTAGCTTATTGCATGAACTTACAGCACAGAATTGCTTATATGGACAGTCATAAATAAGGCCTCTACAGTAATGCTACTCATTCGAAGCTCATGAATGTATAACTTCTGCTAAAAAGAAAAAGCCAGAATCAGGTTCAATAGAATTTCGTTTTGAGAGTAAACACTTTAAAAGACAGATGTATTTTTAGTAAGAGAACTAGGATAGAGACCTGGCTGAGCCAAAGAGATGTTTTATGACAAGGTACTCAGCCTACCTGTGTCTCAGGTTTCCCAGGAAGATAAGGAGAATAACAGCCTTTTTGCTCTTACACTGGATTGTGAAGCTTAATTCATAAAGAGTCTTATCCAAAGCCATTAAAGCCAATAGAAATCTCTCACTGCCTTTTATGTGCTTTTGTTCAGGTCCTTTACAAGACAGCTGAAAGACTGCCATTGACTTCAAGCCTAATTTTATAAAGCTCTTTCATATCCTCAGCTTGGAGGCATTTGGAAACATACAAATGTAGTAATAAGGCTATTACATTTACAAAACAAATCCCTAGAAGATAAAACTGAACTTTTTTTTTTTTTTAATTCTGAGAATGCTATTCACTGCATGTGAGTCCATCTAGGAATAAATACATTTCAGTTTTCATATGCACTTATTAATAACTGTTTCGCAGATACCCTTACATGTTGGTTGCAAATCATCTCTGCACGGCTGGATGCCAACTCTACACATTTGATCTGGATGAAGTACAGTTTATAATGACTTTTCCCTTGATTTAGCCAGAGTGTCAGATCCAGAATAGATCTTTGTCACTTTGTTTTTATGCTGGTATTACCCTGGCTGTGCAAGCAAAGAAAATAAGTGGTCTGGCATAAATTTAGCCATAAAGTTAACCCTTGAAAATCTTTAAGAAATTTGAAGCAGCAGAGGAGTTTAATACTTGATCATTTCTTTACAATATGTCTCCTGCATTTCTGATCTAAGAAATCAGAAGCATTGCCAGCAACAGTAATGTTAGATTTCCTATGCTGTCAAACTACAACCTCATAGTAGAAAAGCCCCTCAAAACAGGAGAATTTCCAGAACTGAATAGAAAAAGGAGAAACTTTAAAAAGTGTTATCATAATTATATAAGCTACACATGATTACCTCCCTGTAGTAAGCCTGTTAAGGAATGCTAAGCTAATACCATAAAAGCTTGACTTCATTCTGTAAGAATCTGAAAACAGTAGCAGATAATTGAGTAGACATTGAAATAAATTTCCAGTGATATGTAATTCTTTATCCTGTTAAATAATAGTGAAAAGATGCAAGTTCTCTGAATATTTACTGGCTTCAATTCAAAACAGATATTTTCTGCATTATGAATGGCTGACATGACATATTTCCAAACCTGAAACACAGCAGTATCAAAGCAACAGTATTATATAACACCTGCCATTCTGTATTGCACAAAGCATATTATTTTTAAAGACAACATACAATAACCATGCACTATTTAATGGAGTCCAATACTCTGGAAAGGAAATTAATGTTTAAATTTTGATCACAGAGAGAGTTAACAGCATTTCTAGTTCAGCACTACCCTCAGATGTCCTGTTATTTCTGTAATAACTGTTAAGGTATTAATTTTATGCAGAGACACGACTAAGCAGAAAGGAAATATTAAACCTTTACAAATCTTAGTTAAAACATTTTCATTTTATTTACACACTTCAGGAAAATGTCTCTCTATGCTTTAATGTTCCAATTTTAGTCCTATAAAGACCATGTAATAACTAGAGATAATATAATTTATTTTATAAAATTTTTATGAACTAAGTAAAGATAATTTAATCTGCCAAGGTTTTACGCTTTAGAAATTCCTATCTCTACAAAGATGCACCTAATTTAGAACTTCGTTGGTATCAGGGTTTTTGCTTTATCAACCTAACCCATTAGGCCATTACACATATTGATATTCTCCAAAAGAAAAAATTATTCTAACATCTGTTCTCAACCTGTTTTTCCATAATTTCCTTTTATGCCCTGTGTATCTCATTTAGCTCATCTGCAAAACACTACTGTGTCTGTCTACACTATATATGCCTTTCTACTGTAAGATTGAGTGAAAATTGAAAAAAATGGTAGCCTACAACATAATTCACTTTAAAAATACACTATTTTTACTAAATCTTTTGATCCAAGAAAAGATATCTGGCTTTGCAAGTCAGAACTGTGACACACGTAACGTTTAACCTAATCTCTAAGTGACCTATATTCTAACAAAATGAGAAAAATGAGTTCATGTCTTACAATTGTGCAGTCTGTTCCTTATGACTGCTGCAGTCTTATGAGAGAAAGAAGTGTTGAAGTTAAGAACAATATACCTTCTGAATGCCTTGAAGAGAGTGATTTTAATATTTTACTGCACTTGTGCAAGTAATTTCAAGAGTACAGCAGAGGGGTAGAAAATGTCCCAGTAACATAAAATCTAAGACGTGTGTAGAGGGAAAAGAACCTGAAGTCCAGGGTGTCCTACTAAATACACTTCCCATTTTCTTCTACAGATGAAAATTTTTGATATTTTATTATTCTCAAACTAGTTTCCAGCCCTGTGATCTCTTCTGTCCCCTTTTGCTGGTATTCAGCAATTGCTGATCTAATTTAATTTCAGAGGAAAACACTTATTTACAGCTGATTTGTCCATAAGGTATTCATCAACACAATACAAAGGTCATTCTTCCTGCATAAAGCTAAAGAATTCACTGTCAAAAACTGTCTTACTAGCTCTTGAAAGGTACCACTGCTGTAACAAAAGTGACATACTATCCAATGTTAGCTAGCAGGTGATGACTCAGGTCAAAGCCAGTGAAGGTGATTTTCTAATATTTATAAATATCAGTGAATGGATCAAAAATTTGAAGGTATTTAGATCTACCCCAACCTGCTATCTTCTATGAAAGCTACATGGTGTCCATCTTGAGGATTTTACCTTGTATAAATTTCTGTGTGAACTGGTGTAAATCCAAAACCAGTGCCCAACTGCTAAAGTTTCCTTATGCTCTGAGTCTACACTGGCAATATATTTGTAAGTGAAAAGAAGATTAGGGGCTTTATGACTAAGATTTATCTTGGGAACAGAGAGTGAGACAGAAAATGAAAAGCCTACTACGGGAGGAAAGAGATACCTGCATGGGATAGACTGAATTAAAACCTACTGGTAAGAACCTCCAAAACTAGATGTTAGAAATCCTGGAATATAGTAGCAGGAAAATAATAGTGAAAAATAGGAAGAAAACAAGCACAAAAAAAAGTGAGACAAAGCAAAAGAGAGGCAATGGCATCACATACTCCAAACCAAATAGCAGGCCTTTTTTGCATTTTATCCTGAGAACAAATTATTTCAAGTCAATACTTCGGCTAGACTTCCAGAAGCCAGACAAACTCGTAAGGTGCTTGCTATTGTTAATTCAATTAGAGTCTGTATGAAATCGCTATGAAATGCATAAGGGTCAAAAAATCCAGCCTTGACAACTTCCTTGTGACAACCAGTGCTTTTTTTTATATGAGAAGAGATTTCTCTCTTAAAGACATATGCCAAAAAATTGCATCTGGAATAGGGCAAAAAGGATTTGTACTTCTACAGCAGAATGCACAGTTTATGCAACTATTTCCTGCATGATAGATTACGTTAAAACAAGAACAGGAATCTACACAAAGTATAACAAAACCAAAACCAAACCAAAACTGGAGTGCAGAGAAGGCATTTACTGTCTTCCTGACAAACAGATGCACTTTGGCCAGTCAAGAAACAGATTTTTCAGGTTATGTTTTGTCTTTATTCAATATGAAAATGGTCTTATACAAAGAATACTTAAATATTTGTTTTTGGGAAAGTTTTGAAATATCTCTACTATCGCCCACAGACCAATTTAACTGTTAACACTTATTAAGCACAGTTACAGTTTCGTAATTCTTGATCTCAGCACTGGCGCTAAAGCAAGACCAAGCTCCAAGGAGGGAACCATTCCAAATTACACGAGCTGGCAAAGTGTCCTCAGGGAGCATCTGCCAGCTACAGGGAGATGGCTCGCTTTCTGGCTACTCCTCCAGTACTTCCCTCCAAATTTAAAATCTCCACCAACTCTTCTTCCATGTGGGAGAACTAAAAGGAGTCTTTATTCTTTTTATAATACTAAAAGCAAACTCATTCTCCGTTGACCAAGACAATAATTCTCATTAAAACAGTAAGAATACAACCGCAATCAATTCATACTTGCTGTGTTGTACAAATGACCCAGGAGACATGCGCAGCTTTTCAGTTGCAAAGTGTAAATGATATAGAAAACTGACTTACCGGCCCAAAAGCATTGCTGTCAAAACTGTGTCCATGGTGATCACCTTCCACCCAAATATGCCCATGTGGAACTCTCACATACTTCTTTTTGTATCCAATGGTTCTAAAAAAAATTTTTAAAAAGGGCTCATTATTTAAAAAAAATAATATTTTGTTTAGAAAACTCACATATTGATTGACTTGGAATTTGACCTTGCCTATCATCCAATGTTTGCTGTAAAAAAAAAGTGCTGAAGTACTTTAGACTTCAAGAGTGCTACTCAATTGAAAATATACGTAACAATTTTGTATAAGCTAGTTGCACTATCAGGGCCTGTTTACTACGTTGTTTCGGCAGAAATCACATCACGACAGGGAACAAGAGACTTCGCAGTTAAATATAATTAAGGGATTCTTACTTCCGTATCTGTCATAACAATTCTTTGAACCACCACATTTTATCTCGGGCAAATGCCAGTGGACACACGTTGCAGTCACATAAAGATACTGCATTGATAATGCTTTTCTTTCAGTATTGTGTTAGGTACTCATCAAAACTAGTCTGGCATATGTGAACTGAACTCGGATTCAGAGTTCGGATTCTTGTAACACTTATGTCCTGGAGGTAGGATTTCTTCAGCTGTAACAAACTAAACAGGATAAACTTAAAGGAAACTCCTAAGAGAAGGCCAAGTGCTGCAAAAAATTACATTGATGATTCAAGTGATTCTCCACAGACCACAGAAATTCATACTGAAGCAGTACCTCAGCATGCCCTGACATTACAAAAATTACAAACTACAGATGAGTCCCAAAGCTGAGGTGCAGAGTGTGCAAAATTCCTGTAGTTAATTCCCGAGTAGCTGTTATTGTCACAGTTCCAGTCTGACATCTGCCATACACTTTTGCTTTCTTTCAGGTGGGTCCTGTTATTCTGCAATCATTCACACAGGAAGGTGATTTTATCATGCACACCAAATTACTGCCATGCTGAAGCATTCACAAATGGGACTCTTATTTTGTTTTGGATAACCAAATCTGTCCACAGACAGAAGCAGACTTTTGATCTAGCTTGTTGCCTCCAGCTGCTCATCTCTTCTGACCGTCTGGAAGATATGGCCCAAAGCAGGAGGCAGAAGGAGCACACCCTAAAACTAAAGAAGATCAACTGAAGAGAGAAAATCACCTTCACCAGGAGATTCAGCTAAACTGTGCAACAGCACTGATCAGGGATGCTCACGAGTCGAAATGGGAACTGGTTCTGGTGAGGTTTGTTTGGCTTAAGGGAGAGGATGTTATAAGGACAAGATAAATAACAACCTGGAGACCATGAAATATTAAATGAATAAAGAATCCTCAAACGTGCATTTTATTAACTGAATTTGACTTTATCAGCCAAATAAAAATAAAAATTATATACTTTGCAAGCCACAAAATCCAATCAGTGCTTTTTCAAACAGCTTTTTCTGGCAGCTAAAAGGAAGAGTGTGCCAGAGCAATATTCTGATGGAAGTTCTACCTGTGATTTCATTGGAAGCTGAAAAAATAGTAGCCTGTTTGCAGAAAGAAAAGACACTGCTTTTCATCTTTCTTTAGAACACTTTCATATTACACAGCACTGAAGACTGAGTTCCTAAACCATTCAAAACAAAATTGCTAAGCTGTCCTGAGTTGATAAATGTATGATTTCTTAAACACAAAGAGTAGTTCTGTAACAATTTAATATGCTAAAAGAGTAATTTACTACTATACAGTTCCTTCCTTTTTTTTTTTTTTTTACAGAAATATGGCATACGGTCTGGACAATGACATTATTTATGTTTTGAGTTTCCATAATGCTTTGTCTCACAGATAATTTCTTTTATAAATCATAGTATCATAGAATCATAGGTTGGAAAAGACCTCTAAGATCATCAAGCCCCACCATCCACCCAACGCCACCATGTCTACTAAACTATATCCTGAAGTGCCACAGCTACACATTTTTTAAACACCTCCAGGGATGGGGACTCAACCACCTCCCTGGGATCTAAACCTCCCTGATGCAACTTGAGGCCATTGCTTCTCGTCCTATCGCTAGTTACTTGGGACAAGAGACCAACACCTGCCTCACTACAACCTCTTTCAGGTAGTTGTAGAGCGCGATAAGGTCTGCCCTCAGCCTCCTCTTCTCCAGACTAAACAATCCCAGAGCCGTCAGCCGCTCCTCATACGACTTGTTCTCTAGACCCTTCACCAGCCTCACTGCCCTTCTCTGGACACCCTCCAGAACCTCAATGCCTTTCTTGTAATGAGGGGCCCAAAACTGAACACAGTACTCCAGGCACGGCCTCACCAGTGTCGAGTACAGGGGCACGATCACCTCCCTCCTCCTGCTGGCCACACGATTCCTGATACAAGCCAGGATGCCCTTGGCCTTCTTGGCCACCTGGGAATACTGCTGGCTCATGTTCAGCTGGCTGTCAACCAAAACCCAAGATCTTTTTTCCACTCTTCCCCAAGCCTGTAGTGTTGCATGGGGTTGTTGTAACCCAAGTGCAGGACCCGGCACTTGGCCTTGTTGAAATTCATACAGCTGGCCTTGGCCTATCGATCCAGTCTGTCCAGATCCCTCTACAGAGCCTTCCTACCCTCAAGCAGATCGACACTCCTGCCCAGCTTGGTGTCATCTGCAAGTTTACTGAGGGAGCACTCAATCCCCTCATCCAGATCATTGATAAAGATGTTAAACAAGACCGGACCCAAAACAGAGCCCTGGGGAATGCCACTTGTGACTGGCTGCCAGCTGAACTTAACTCCATTCACTACCATTCTCTGGGTTCAGCCGTTCAGCCAGTTCTTTATCCAGTGAAGCGTACACCCATCCAAACCATGGGCAGCTAGTTTCTCCAGGAGGATGCTGTAGAGAACAGTGTCAAAGGCCTTACTACAGTCCAGGTAGACAACATCCACAGCCTTTCCCTCATCCACTAGGCAGGTCACCTGGTAATAGAAGGAGATCAGGTTGGTCAAGAAGGACCTGCCTTTCATGAACCAGTGCTGTCTGGCCCTGATCACCTGGTTGTCCTTCACATGCCTGGTGAGTGCACTCAGGATCAATCGCTCCATAATCTTCCCCAGCACCACGCTGAAAGGCCTGTAGTTCCCCAGATCCTCCTTCCGGCCCTTCATTGTAGATGGGTGTTACATTCACTATCCTCCAGCCATCTGGGACCTCCTCTTTTAGCCAGGACTGCTGATAGATGATGGAGAGTGGCTTGGCCAGCTCCCCCACCAGTTCCATCAGCACACTTGAGTGGATCCCATCTGGCCCCACAGACCTGTAAGCATCCAGGTGGCATAGCAGGTCGTTAACTGCTTCTGCCTGGATTATGGAGGTTTGCTCCACTCTCCTTCCCTGTCTTCCAGAACTAGGGGCTGACTACCCTGGAAATAACTGGTCTGGCTATTAAAGACTGAGGCAAGCAGGCATTAAATACATCATCCTTTTCGTCATCCTTGGTGGAATATTCCCCCTTGCATCCAATAAGGGATGGAGACTCGCATTGGCCCTCTTCTTGTTGTTGATCTATTTGTAAAAACATTTGTCCCTCACAACAGTGGCCAGTCTGAGTTCTAGCTGGGCTTTTGCTTTTCTAATTTCCTCTCTGCATGACCTAACGCGACCCCTGCACTCCTCTTGAGTCGCCTGTCCCTTATTCCTCAGGTGGCAGACCCTCCTTTTTTTCTTCCTGAGTCCCAGCAAGAGCTCCCTGAGCAGCCAGGTCAGTCATCTTCCCCAGTGGTTCATTCTGCAGCACATGGGGACAGCCTGCTCCTGTGCCTTAAGATTTCCTCCTTGAAGAATGTCCAATCTTCCAGGTCCCCTTTGCCCTTCAGGACTCTCTCCCAAGGGACCCTGTCAACCAGCATCCTGAACAGGCCATAAAGTTCCATATGAGACTATATTCTACTAGAAACATGTTTTAAGATATAGGTTGAGAGAAGCTGGCCATTAATTCTGTTCTGTCTGATTAGACACTCTGAAAATTATGAAATAATTATCTTCAATTACTGATAAAGGCAAACAATAGCAAAAAAACATTTAATTTTCTCTTCCATTCATCTTCCTGTATATAGAAGAGTAGATTGTGATAAAGTTTTGTACCTTTAAAGACTTCATGCACAAGACTGAATTTCACCGAGAAGGGTGAAAGAATTTGAAACTTAATTCTGCTGACATGTTTATGTTTACCTCATAAATGTCAGGAAAATAATATGGCAAATGCCAGTCAGTGACTTCATCTCAGACCAGACACAATCTCCTACCACCAAATAATCTCCTTTATTATGATTAGGAAATCACTAACACGAAGGGGAAAAAAAAGAAAAAAAAAAAAGCTTTTGCAATAAGCACTTGGAAACAAACTGGAAAGAATTTGGTCTGGATGTATAGGTCTTGCAGGTTCAAAGAGCCTGTGAAAATACGAAGGTTTAACAGAGGTATATAGTGTGTTCTTTAAGGCCTAAGGCAAAAAGAAAAATATTACAGAGTGCAGTAATTATCATTGGGTTTTTTTCTTATTTCTTTAACACAGGAAAATACATATCTCTTCTCTACTCTTGAAATAATCATCATAAGCCAGAAAAAAATTGCTACAATTATGCAAAAAAAAAAGTCTCTTACTGTGATTAAAGAGGAATTATGTACAAATTCTCATACTGCAAAAAAAGCAGATGATTGTACACAGGAGGTTTTGACTTAAAGGAAACAGAATTAAAATGGATGATGTTAATAAATGTATTAAGAGAATAAGGGAGAGAAAAAGAAATGGAAAAGAAAGAGAAGCAGCAGTTCTAATTATCTGCTTTAGTATATTGGACTGATACTGCTTGGATAAATCCCTCCGTAAGCTCAGCAGACAAATGTAAAACCTTCTGCCATTTCCTGTATGGAGTACATAATGCATCAGATTTTTCCCACAAGTAGGTCCAATAGAAAGAAATTCAAGATATATCATAAACAATAAGTACCTGTATACCTGTGATCAAGAGACGCAAGAAAATCTATTTTCCTAAGACAATTCCTTCAAACTCTTAGTGTCACATTTGCACAGGGCAGTTATCTAGGGACTCTGCATCCAC